TGAACATAATGTTCCTCCACATGTTGAGGCTCCAGTGCTCTGAACATAATGTTCCTCCACATGTTGAGGTTCCAGTGCTCTGAACATAATGATCCTCCACATGTTGAGGTTCCAGTGCTCTGAACATGATGTTCCTCCACATGTTGAGGCTCCAGTGCTCTGAACATAATGTTCCTCCACATGTTGAGGTTCCAGTGCTCTGAACATAATGATCCTCCACATGTTGAGGTTCCAGTGCTCTGAACATAATGTTCCTCCACATGTTGAGGTTCCAGTGCTCTGAACATAATGTTCCTCCACATGTTGAGGTTCCAGTGCTCTGAACATAATGATCCTCCACATGTTGAGGTTCCAGTGCTCTGAACATAATGTTCCTCCACATGTTGAGGTTCCAGTGCTCTGAACATAATGTTCCTCCACATGTTGAGGTTCCAGTGCTCTGAACATAATATTCCTCCACATGTTGAGGTTCCAGTGCTCTGAACATAATGTTCCTCCACATGTTGAGGTTCCAGTGCTCTGAACATAATATTCCTCCACATGTTGAGGTTCCAGTGCTCTGAACATGATGTTCCTCCACATGTTGAGGTTCCAGTGCTCTGAACATAATGTTCCTCCACATGTTGAGGTTCCAGTGCTCTGAACATGATGTTCCTCCACATGTTGAGGTTCCAGTGCTCTGAACATAATGTTCCTCCACATGTTGAGGTTCCAGTGCTCTGAACATAATGTTCCTCCACATGTTGAGGTTCCAGTGCTCTGAACATAATGTTCCTCCACATGTTGAGGTTCCAGTGCTCTGAACATAATGTTCCTCCACATGTTGAGGTTCCAGTGCTCTGAACATGATGTTCCTCCACATGTTGAGGTTTCAGTGCTCTGAACATAATGTTCCTCCACATGTTGAGGTTCCAGTGCTCTGAACATAATGTTCCTCCACATGTTGAGGTTCCAGTGCTCGGAACATAATGTTCCTCCACATGTTGAGGCTCCAGTGCTCTGAACATAATGTTCCACCACATGTTGAGGTTCCAGTGCTCTGAACATAATGTTCCTCCACATGTTGAGGTTCCAGTGCTCTGAACATAATGTTCCTCCACATGTTGAGATTCCAGTGCTCTGAACATAATGTTCCTCCACATGTTGAGGTTCCAGTGCTCTGAACATAATGATCCTCCACATGTTGAGGTTCCAGTGCTCTGAACATAATGTTCCTCCACATGTTGAGGCTCCAGTGCTCTGAACATAATGTTCCTCCACATGTTGAGGTTCCAGTGCTCTGAACATAATGTTCCTCCACATGTTGAGGCTCCAGTGCTCTGAACATAATGTTCCACCACATGTTGAGGTTCCAGTGCTCTGAACATAATGTTCCTCCACATGTTGAGGTTCCAGTGCTCTGAACATAATGTTCCTCCACATGTTGAGGCTCCAGTGCTCTGAACATAATGTTCCTCCACATGTTGAGGTTCCAGTCATGGCAGGTTCCTGGCAGCAGTACGAGACCGGAGAGTGGCTGCTGTTTGGCATTGTCAGAGGAGATTTGTCATATTTTTCATGGCGCAACCCTCATACTCAGCTCTGCAGCTCATCCCACAAATGCGGCACCATTTGAAAGATAAGAAAACAGGTAAAGATGTATTGCCAAGAAGCATTGTTACAACAAAGAAATAATCTACCAAACCAAAAATGTATACTTTTTGTGTTAAGTTTAGTTGTAACACTGTTTATTCTATTTCACAAGTACAGTGCACGGTTGAATTATTCCAGAACTTTACTTGCACCATTGTGTCACTTGCAACATTGTGTACTCAAATACTGTACTTAAGTACAAATGTGAGACACTTGTACTTTATTTGAGTATTTACATGTGTTGCTATATTGTACTTCTACTCCACTAGAATTCAGAGGTAAATCGTGTACTTTTACTATTTGATTTATTTTGTTGTTACTTTACAGATGTGGATGAATGATGTCAAATATAATCAAGTGTTAAATCAGACTTTAGTTCCACCTGGAGTAAATTCACAAGCTACCTTGCAGTATACAAAGTCATTCAAACTAGTTGCACCTTTACCAGCTTTGAGAACACTTTCATGATCAATCATTATAAAACATATCATATATATTATTCCGAAATGACCAATCTGCACAATGACTACTTTTACTGTTGGTACTTTAAGTATAGTTTGATCCTAATACTTTTGTAATTTTACTTGAGAAACCTTTTGAATATAGGACTTGTAACCGAGTATCCCTACCCTCTGGTACTTCTACTTTGACTTCAGTTTTTTTCAGTTGCTAACCAGTGGTGAACCGTCAGGGCCTTCAAGGTATTCAGAGAATACCCTGGAACACTCAGATAAAACAAACAAAAAATCGATTTAATTATATAAATAAAATGTATATAAAATGAATGCATGAGAATCGTATCTGTGTTGTTGATCTGTAATATTACAGTGCTACGTTGATTTGTTTGTCCTTCTCGGACCATGCACTACGCATTTAAGTGGTTTTGTGTTAGAAAAGAAAGCAACCAATCAGATCTTGTTCTGGGTCTCTGGGTAGGATATCCTTCAACGAAGGTATTCTACATCCTTGATCGAATGCCCTGGCCGTTGCACTGAATGAGTGCGTACGTTTGGACTGACAGTTTGATCAACCAATCATATATTGATTTGTAGCCAATGGGCGTATTCTTTCAGAGTTTTCCTCGGTTCCAGGGTGTTCTAGAAGGCCCGCGAGTTAACTGGCTCGAGACAGATGATCTTCTAGATCCAGGTGCCCAACCTTTTTTGAACCGAGAGCTACTTTTAAAGTTGCCAGTCTGCCGAGATCTACCAGTCCAGATAGAGAGGCGTAGCCATTACTGACAGCCTACTACCAGGTAAATACACACTTCTACTTGTATAAAACTGACCTTTGTACGATGAATACTTCATAAAATACTGCAGATCCTTTATCTTACCTCTTTCTAATCTACACACATACAAGTATTTAACTGAGGTTACACACCAGTGTTGTTGATACAGAGTTGGAGTTTATTCACACGTCACATACTACAGTGGTAATGTTTTCAAGAAACATTGAACAGTGCTGCCACATATGACACAGGGAAAAAAGAAAATACTCTGAACCCTTTCTTTGCCATTATATAAAAAGTGTTGCTATAAAAGTATAAATTAGGCTTACTAATAAGACAACTCAGATCTGAAGCTACACAGGAATCTGCTGCAACAGTGCAATAAAAAAGACTTCTTTTTTTTTTAATAGAATCAAACTCCTGTACTGTAGGAGTATAAAAAGAAATGCCTTTAAAATAGGATGCAAGCAACACTAGTTTCTTAACCTGAATTGATAATAGACTATAATCAATTTAAGTTTGCATTCTTATACCATTTTGTACAATAATTATAATGAATAAGTTCAAACAAACTAAAACTTACAGCAGATTAATAACGGTATCTAACTTGAGTTTTTATTATATCAAAAACCTGTTGAAATGCTACTGTTATTTTTATTACGCATCGGCAGCCTCCAGGAATGCTTCTTTCACAACTTCGCCGTCTTTAAAAGACTTCATGTGTTTCTCAAGAACGTGACTGACACGATAAGATGCTCTGGTAGCAGCCTTGCTCTTGTTGTTGGGCCTGGTGAAAATGGACTGCTGTGCATTTAGCGGTCCTTTCAGGCCCCTCCCCTTTTGGGAGCGTAGGGCAGAATTAGGAGGGAATTCCGTCTCGTAGCTTTTGTGCACTGTTTTGAAATGCCGCTCCTAAATTACCCTTCTTCGATAAAGCCACGCTCGCATTGCAGATGAGACAGATGGACTTTGAATTGGAATAGATACAAAAAGAATCATCCTCCCACTCGGAGTGAAAATCATATATGTTTTGCTTCTGCCATAATTGCGGTCTTGTGTGTGTGCGGACTGTCACTCCTGTTGAGTCGACACGGACAACGTAAGCAAACTAGTGCACACTGCCCACTGCTCACCAGCCACGCCCCGACACATGGGGTCACGCCGGCCAATCACAAAGCTTTGATGCATTCAAGTGCATTATTCTGGCACAGGAAGATTATGTTACAGGACATTAACGATAAAACAGAATATTGTTGTTCTATTTTTAGACACATCTCGCGATCGACTGGGAATCTCCCCGCGATCGACTGGTTGGGCACCCCTGTCTAGATGAATCAATGCGACGAAGCAATTCATGCCGTTTTATTGTTTTTAATGTTGAAATGACAAGTGCAACAGGTGAAGATGAAGTTGTTGCAGAATTGTTGTGAGTACCCTTTTCAAGACGACAATTCAGTGAAAAGACGGATATTATAATGCCGCGGAGGGGGGGGAGGGGGGGGGGGGGGGGGGGGGGGGGGGGTGGGGGTCTAGTCTACAGAAGGTCCAGTTGTGATAGACACGGTTCGCCACTGTTGCTAACACACAACAATCTCACATAAAGCAAATATCCAAAAACATTTTCAGCTCTGCTCCCAATTTGCAATTCAACTTGGCACTTTTTACAAAACACTGCATACGGTTCTATGTAAGACACAGAAATCTGACACAATCACTTGGAACAAAAATGTCCGGTTGCTTGTTTCCTGATATCTGAAATGGCGCCTCGACACTTTATTTCGATTAAGGAATCACGATATAAACATTGTAAAAAGTCGTGTCAGTAAATCATCTTCATTTAAGAGAGTTTTAGAGATTAAACAACGAGTGAAAAAACGAGCAACTGTCGGTTCAGACTGAAACGCAGAACATATTTTCTGATGGGTGTCGGCACTCGGCTGTTTCTGCTTCATACGCCCGTAAAGATAACTGGTAGGCCTACTAACTTGTTACAACACACTGAGTACAAGCTGCTGCAGAACTTTATCATACAGGAAATCTACATTGTTATTAACAATACTATGTTTTGATCAACTCCGAATTCATTTAAGCAATTGTACTATTACTGTATTATGTAGCGTCGTTTAAGGTGACTGACCTGCATGAAGTCTTGCTTCCGTACTGCTGCGAACCGTGGTGAAGTTAGTTTTAGGTTGGATATTCGACAGAGAAACGAGGCTTTCAGGGACCATCAACAAATGACTTTTCAATTACACAAGCACAATGTTATTTTTAATAAATCGACAGCTTCCCGATCGTGTGAATGTGATGCAAATCCACTCTAGAGCATACATTTGTTGAACACACCTCTTTTTATTGCATTGTAATTCTCTAAATATTTTTATATTAATATTGTATGGAAAAATGAGCATATGGCTTCAATAACTTCCAGGTCATGTGACCTAATCACTCAAAATCAATAGGCTTGTTTGAGACGAGCTGCGGCTCGCCTCGAAAGTAGACGAGAATAGCCGATCGCAGCCGGGGGAGGTCCCAAAAGCTCGCCTGAAGTCGGACAGCTCTGAGTCGGCTTCTTCTTCTTCTTCTCTAGGTTTTTTGGCGGATTGCAAACAACTTTAAGGTGCATACCGCCACCTCCGGAGTCGGTTTGACTCGGTTTGCATTTGTAAAGAATGCACAAATGTGTTTAATCGTTAATGTCAGATATGTACTAAGTAAATACATTTGTTCCTGCTCAAGATTAGATTCAACTTTATTGTTATTGCACAGATTACAGGTAGGCCTACTGAGACAACGAAATGCAGTTTAGCTTCTAACCAGGAGTGCAAAAAGCAGTAAAGTGAAAAGTAATGTACACAATAGACAGAATAAAATATAGAATGAATTGAATGATGAATAAACAGTGAGGGGTATGAATACACTAGATATACACAGCAGCCTGTGAGCAGTATGAACAGTGTGTATGAATATGCTAAAATGTATATAAAGTATGAAAACGGTAAGCAGTGCAAGTATAGTATAAAATAGATAATAATTTCATGATGATAAACATTGTGGAACAATGATGAAAAATGTGAATGGAAGTGGCCACGTAAAACTGACACAAAACAACAACAAACTTTTGCCGAGCCAATGGAGTTTCATCAGCAGCACGTGGTAAAAACCACCAATGAGCGCTCAGCTGGAGATACCAGCGAGTCGGTACAGAACTCATCTGTCCTTCCTCCTCATCCTGGCCTACAGGTTTAAAATAACCTGTAGGCTTCGGCATTTTTTGTAATAGCTGCTTGTCTCGAAACTCCTTTTCCCTCAACAATTTCCTTTTCCGAGCGCCATTCTCAAACTTTTTCTTCTCCGACATTTTCTCCTAAACAACCTTCATCTGTCACTCAATCACTCGCAATTTGAATAAGTTACACGTGAAACATATTCTCATTCTGATTGGCTGTTAAGTGGTGCCCACTGACTGTTACATAATTTTTGAGAAAAATCTCTGGAATCCATCAATCTCATTGATTAGTGGAGCAAATGATAAATAGTATGGAGGGAAGATATTTTCGTTTGGATTACTGGTCTGGCTCACGAGTGTGTGTGTGTGTGTGTGTGTGTGTGTGTGTGTGTGTGTGTGTGTGTGTGTGTGTGTGTGTGTGTGTGTGTGTGTGTGTGTGTGTGTATATACGTGTGTGTATACGTGTGTGTGTTTGTGTATTTTTGCGTTTGTGTGCTCCCGGGGAAAACACTCACGAGAAACACCGGCTGTTGTTATGCCTGCTGTGACGTCAAGTTACTCCGTTCTCCGCTTGTAATTATGCTGTTACAAGCTTCAAAGCTGTATTTATCATCTGAATTTGCCAAAACAAGTTTAATATTCTGAAAGCCAAGACTTTGTTTATTTGAAATCAGATGAAAACAAACTGTAACGGACCCTGCCGTGTTATCTATGATTACTATACGCATTACATTCATAATTTCAGAAGAGTGGCGAGGGAGAGCTGTCTTCTTCCCTTTACAAGCTTCAAACATGTATTTATCATGTGATTTTGGAAATAAAAGTTTCATATTCTGAAAGCCAAGACTTTGTTTATTTAAAAAAAAAAAATAAACACCCGAAATAAAAGAAAAGAAAAAGGAATTTTCTTTTCTTTTTACCAATTTGTATTGGCTCATGATACGCCCCCGATCTCCGTAGGCCCCTGGGCTTCAGCCCAGGTCAGCCCGTGCATTAAGGCGGCCCTGGCTCAAAGATAAGCCAGCGCCTGCATTTTCTGCGTCGGCTCAGTGTTCATGGAGTGGATAAATGTATCATGTTAATGTTCTACGGGGCAGCAATTGAGTCTATTATTCGTTATGGCATCACAACATGGTTTGGTAACTTGTCAGTTAAATCTAAATCACAACTCCAGAGCTTTATAAAAAGGGCTGGAAAAATAATTGGCATGCTTCCACCATCCTCTCTTCAGATTCAGATATAGATTACCAAACTATAGATTGAACAGGTATACATTTTCCTTTGTTCCGCTGTCAATCAAGCTGCTGAACAGTCAGAAACAATTGTGATTATGCTGTTAGGAGTTGTTGGGAGGTGCAATGTTTACAGTGTAGTTTCTTTGTGCAATCGAGAAGGTTAAATATAGGGAAAGTGCAATATGTGTAAATAGGTATGGACACAATAGGGATATGTGCAATTTGACGGACACTATGCATAGGTGCAATAGGGAAAGTGCAATATTGATTTGTGTGTGAATACAATAGGGAAAAGTGCAATATTTGATTATGTATGAATGCAATAGGGAAAATGCAATTTGATTATGTATGTGCAATAGGGATATGTGCAATAGGGAAAGTGCTGTACCTGTATGTTTCCTGTTTGTTTCTTTGCCATGTGATATGTGATCTCTGTTCTGTATCTATGACTGATTGACCTGAATGTTTTATGTGTATTATCTCGATGCCCAAGACAAATTTCTCCTAAGGGAGACAATACATCTTTATCTTATCTAAGCAGTAAGGGAAACTGACGCTGCTGGCGGGTCCGCGAATGTCTGTCGAATATCCAACCTAAAACTAACTTCACCGCGGTCTGCTGCGAAAGTGAAAGTAACTGGTCTGCTCGACGTCAGATATAAGGCCCCAGACTGTAATGATTTCCACCTCATTTAATACTTTGCACCTGATTCTGGTGTTGGTGATGTGTAGGCTACTGTGCGAGACCAGAGATGTAGTTCATTGAGCGGATAAAGTATTCAGATTATGAATTTGGGATACAGTATTTTCATGGTGGATTGAATAATTATAATATATTTATTTCTCCAGAGGGATAATTATTTTATTCCTTTCTCATTCCCTCTCAAAAATAATTGGTTACTGAGTGTACCATGTGAGGAAAAACAGTCTTGCCCGAGGCCCTTCAGAAGCATATATTAGCTGACAAAGGGCGTCTGTAATAATTCATCCATTATGCAGCCTGAAACCTCATGTATAGTGAGTGACACTCCCATTCTTCACTGATGCAAATTTGGGCCAAATACAATGAAAGGAATAACTCAAACATTTCATAATCTTTTAATATATTTATTAATATTCAAGATGCATTTGTTTAAAAAAGAAATGAAATGCTACATGGGCCATATCAAAAGACAAACATGTTATTGGGGATTTTCAAGGCAGTATCAGGAACTATAGGAAGAACAAGTTGTTTTTCTCTGTATTGTAGAGTATGAAACCATCAAGTTCCCCCTACTTTAACACATTTCAACAAGTGTAAATTTGACCTGTGGATAGACAAGGTACTAATGTGCTTAAGGCCTCAGATTGCTGTACAAAAAGAGCACCGGAAAGACAAGTATGTAAATGCAATGGTGGTGCAACGATGACTGTACATAAAACAATTCTGGCAAGTTCGGAATAACCTGCAATAATGATTCTAAAGAAGGCTTTAATTCAAAAAGTGTAAACTACCATGATGTTGTTAAAAAGGCTGACGTGAATGAGGAAAATGACAGACTAGATCTGCGACATTCAAGAAATATTTAGCAGTTGATTTATTCTGATCAAGATGTGTTAGAAATAGCTCTTTTCAGCGATTATTTTTGCTTTCTTCTGCTGACGGTGATCCAGGTTTCTTCTTTAGGCGTGGATACCAGCTCAGATCTCACCTCCATCACCTGCCCCTTCAGAGGGTGAAGCTTCAGCTGCCGCACCAACGTACTGAGCAGGACAGTGGCCACAGTGTAGGCAAACCTGTCAAAGAGACCAAATGTGACGGATGGTGTAAATGTTATTGAAGACACTTTTTCACTTCTACTCACTGTCATTGCTCTCAGTATTAGCTCCGTCTATATCTAGACTTTACCTGAGTTCTGGACATGTTTGATTCCCTGAGAATCCGAGAAGACAGAAGCTCTTCCTCGCCGATTCCTCCTCAAATCGATCCGGGTCAAACCTGAGGGGATGTCACAGTAATCACAGATCAGAAATGGCACAGACCAACATGATAAACCCCACTATGTGATGCTGTCATACCATCTATACAATTTGTTCCAAGAGGTACTTTCTGATTAAATTGATTAATTTAAACAATTATCATTATGTAGATTCAGTAATGAGGAAAAGGTACACTACTTGCATTTGTTTTTCTATTATTCATATGTTGAACATTGTGGAGCAATATCCAAAATTAGCTAAAAAAACAATATACTTATGAAAAAGTCCACAGATTATAGATTTCAAAGATCCTATTTCTGGACAGCCATTTCTAAAAGTAAATGTTAATGTTGAACCTGTATGGGGTGCTCCAGGTGTCAGAATCCTGCAGCACGACTCCCAAAGCGTAGATGACCAAAGTCTGAAAGCACAGCATTTTGATTTACAAAGTTATTATTGTTCAATCTCTTTATACATCTCCAGAGTAAACTGTGTGGTTTCCCGGCTGTATTATTTTAGCAGGAAGCAGATACCTCTTTGGGGATGACGTGCTGATCCACCTTGCCCTCCACTTCCTGCAGCCTCGCAGCGACGGGGGTCAGCTTGGCGGTCCTCACCGTCTCGTTCAGGACCTGCTGGCAGTATCTGTCAGACACAGGAATGTGATCAGATCAAGGTCATACAACACAGCAGCACCACCTGGATGTGCATATATGTAGCTAGTATGACCTTGAATTAAATCTGTG